TCTTATTCACTTGTTCCATGATTGTCACATGTTCAAACTGGCACTGACAGGCAAGTTAAAGTCACGTGGTTGGGGGTCACGTGTCTCAGAGAGACAAAGACAGAGAGAGTGTCAGCAGTATATATATGTCTGACTATATAATTGGACAAGAAGCTCCTGGCATGTGCCATAAGCTCACCCTGACAAGACTCAGACATTTTGCTTGCTAGCAAAGCTCACAAAGACAGATTTAGGCCTTTGGGGGTGGGGGGACTTGTTACTGTGGCAGACAGCATGCAACACTGATACCCGCTGTCATATACCAACAGCAACCGAAGCTCTTCCATCACAGAAAATTTTCCCTCGTGCATGTATGTAATGGATAATTAATGGCAGTAAAGTGGACCATGCAGTAACGCCATGTTCCATGTTAAACTTAAGAGAGCTGAAATTAGTTTGTTTATATTTCCCACCATTTTTTTTTAAAGGAACAAACAGCATCACTGCAACTACTTTCTGTTTGCATAATGTGCACAGTGTTGGTTACAGTGGGCCTTTACAGCTAATCTTATCACAACCTTTGGCAGACCTCCAGCCAACACTTTCTAAACTGGTTTCCAAGGCAACCCCAACGAGCAGGACCAATTAGAACTGACAAAGGATCCGCAAGCATTAAACTGCCTGGAGATTAAAGGGAGAGAAGACAAACTCAACAAATGATAGGTGGAGTATGTCTTTATGATGTGTGTGGTGGGTAATAGGGGAGCACAGTGACTTCAGAAGCCCCTGTAGGCTCACTTGTGTCTGTGATTCAGTCTTTCCATTGGGGGGAGCTGTGGGGGTGAATTTAATTAAACCAATTTCAATCCTTCCTTCTCCCTATTTGGTTTCTTTCTCTGTAGGACTGCTGGGTGTTCGTGTGTCAGTAGGGCTGCAGGCAGGAAACCAGATCAATAAGAAATAGTTTAGAGAGGTCAGTGTGTGGTTAGTTTTTTTTTGTTTTTTTGCTTTTTTGTTTAGGGCCATCAGTCGAACACTCTGGCCTCTGAGCTGCACATCAATCACAAACCATGCTGTGTGTGCAGGGAGGTTTGTGTGCGTTTGAGATTGATTTGACAGCCTTTGTACTTCAGCAGGGGATCAACTGTACTGAATAACTGACACCCATGATCCCCTGGTGTTGGTAGGTTGTTGGATTTTTGTGTCTATTGCAGTTCAAATGTGTGTCACACTTCTAAATCGATGACCTTTCCTTTAAACCCTTTTAGTGCGCGCCTGTGTAAGAGTTTTATTCACGGAAACAGCAACCATGTGTTCGAAATCGAAAGTAAGTGTTTAATGTAAAAATGTCAGCTCAGTGCACTCACAGACCGTGTGAGAATCATCGACATCAGCCCGACACTCCCTGGTTTGTGATTTCCCTTTAAAAAATGTTTAAATCTTATCTTTTTTATATATCTTATTTTTTCTATTGCCACATTGGTTTGTAAAACCAAAGTAAGGGATGGATGTGACTGAGCACACGCACAATGTGTCCACTAGTCAATCATGTTGTCACAGTCTGGCGGAGGCAGACTGTATGTGTTGTGTAGAGCGGACCCAAAACGCAGACACGAAGGAACTTGGACCAAAACTTGACTATCAACAAAAAGCGAGCCGTTTAATATGGCTGATAAGAAAGTACAAAAACAAAAGGCAGATGCACACAAGAAAGATCCTAACTAGAACTAAACTGGGAAAACAAAATGCTAAACACAAAAGGTAAAGAACAAAACCTTAAACATTGCAAAAAAACAACAACCCTAAACATGGAAAATCCTGGAAACAATTCATATCCTTTTCCAACAACTATTTCTTTGATCCTGTGGTCCATCTGTTCTGCCTTTGCCAAAACAAACATTTGCCTTCATTTTTATTTTCAGCTCGAGTTTCTCTTTCGTCTTTTTTGTTTATTTATTTATTTTTTGTACCTTTTCTTAATAAGATTGGAGGAGATTGGGTGTAGTCCTCTCCATGGTAACGCTGTTTCCCATTCTCACTGTCGCTGTCTCTCATCACATAATTCTGCCCTACCCTGTGCTTTATCGCTGCGCCCTCTCCCTATATGCGCTCTCCCCTTACCCTCCCCTTCTCTCTCTCTCTCTCGCTCCTTGTCTCCCTTTCTCTCTCACATATGCACACACACATACACTCAACCTCTCCTCTGGTCCACTGGTCTCCTGCTAATGCTGCACCGTCCACTGACTGCGAGATGTTCAGTCCAGCTTGTAAAGGCTCTGCAGGGGAGCCGAGGTAAGGCTTTCACCCTCGTCTCTTCTGGAGCTGAGATGTTACTGCTGCTGTTGCTGCTAACTGAGAGCCAAATGCCTGATGGGAAGAGCGTTAGTGTGTGCGTGTTTGTGTGTGTGCTGATTTGTGTGAGAACTCACCAGCTGGAGTAACGGGCTTTTTGTTTGTTTTTAGGTTAGGTCTGGCACTTGTGATCTGCATACACGCACACAGCAAAGGGAAGTGATCAGACTTCCTTTTATATTCATTTATTTGTGGTCTTTTTTATGTCTTCTTAAACTTAGGAGTATGTTGTTGTCTGCATGCATGCAGGGAGTCTGCTGAGAAAGAGCCTTTGGAAATCTAATG